CCTTTAAGAATTGGATCTGTAAGAATTGGATTGCAAAGAAACCAAAATTAATAAAGCAATGTCCTAAGATGGCTCATGTATTGAAAATATCCTTTGATAATATCGATAAATTTGGAAAATATTTTGCGGAACTTAATGAGATCCACTGTGAACAAAATGATCTTGCTTATGTTTTAGAAAGTGAAGGCTTTAATAAAGAAGATATGCAAAAACAAAAAGGCATAACCGATTTTACAGTGACCCGTATGTTTTCAAAGAGAAGCGAATAGTTTATGGTTTTATATCAATAAAAGAAATGTGGATTACTTGTAACTTGATTTTTTTTGTTGTAACAATATATTTTTTTGTGTTATTACTTTTAAATAAACTTTTTTAAAACTCAGAGTTAGTGTAGGTAGGGATAGACAATATAATAATTATGTAATCGAATAGCTAAAATTTAACCCTTACATATTTTACAAATTATTACATATTATTAAGTAATTTAAGAGTTATTAATTACGTATATCGATTACAAATAAACTACATATATTTATGTTGTAAGTGGAAGCGGAATTAAGTGGGTTGATTTTATCATATGAGTGTCGCTAAGGCCGTTTGAAGTTGATTCTTCGGTTAACGTCAACTTTTGAGCTCGGACAGGGGGGAGAGTATAACAAATTAAACAAATTAAACAAAAAAATTAAACAGGCCAATCACAAGACGATTACTGGATGAGAAACAATATGGGTAATTATTTTTTGATCCAGACCAAAATGTTATTACGTCATATATAAAATTGGTCCGGGTTCAAAAATAATTACCCATATTACAATATTGTGATTGGCTTGTTCGTTTTTGGGGAGATGGCCAGAGGAGGGGTTATGTTAACCGAAGAATCAACTTCAAATGGCCTAAAAGAAAACCCGAAAATTTAAATATGGCTTATATTTAATTTTTCGGGGTTTCTTTTAGCGACACTCATATATATGTTGTAAGTGGGAATGGAATTTAAGTGAATTTGGAATTTCCTAATTAAATTAGGGTTAGGGGTAGGGTGTACATATAATATAATCAACCCCCAAAAACGGGGGTTTTATATATTTATACCCTGGTCACTATATCAAGATCGCAGGGCATAAATCAGTTATACCCTGGGCACTATGTGTATAAGCGGGACTTTCAGCCCCGCTTATACCAAACTGCCCAGGATATAACTATTACAAATTCCGAATTCACTTAAATTCCGTTTCCACTTACAACATATACACCCTTATCCTAACCCTAATTTAACTTGGAAATTCCGAATCCACTTAATTCCATTCCCACTTACAACATCTATATATAATAAGGTAGCTGCGCAACGCAGTTGCGCTAAAAGCGAGACGGGAAATTTCTTGCATGTGTTAGATTATTGGCGTAGTAATTAACTTCTTTTGTCATCTGCTGGTAATACAGGATCTAAGTTTTTGTACTATGCTGTCCGAATGGTCAGTCCGAATAGCGTTGACCTCACATGAGTAGGGAAAATCAATTTTTATTAAAAAACAGTTGTGGGAACGATGAGATTTAAAAAAATGGCTGTCGATGCTTATCTTTAATTCTGAAATCAGCATTTAAATTTTGTTTTTAAAAAATTAAAACTCTATATATCCCAGCAAAACTCCCCCGCACACACAACTCCCCTACACATCTCCCCGCACATCTCCTCCACACATCCGAGTAAAACTCCCCGCATAACTCATCCACACATCCGAGTAAACTCCCCGCAGATTCCAACTAAAAACTTTGTATAGTAACTATCTATGTATTAATATTATTCATGTAAAATAAACTTATCTAAATATTTAAATAAATTTATTGTTATATAATTAAGATTTTTTCTTTTTAACATTTTGTTAAAATTTTAATTAAATATTATGCATATGTAAGTAATTTGTTAACATTATTATTACTTCCCGATGCTCTATATCTCAGATCTAATTTTAAGAAATAATTGTTGTATAATTGACTTATAATAGATCGAATATAGTAAAATCAACAAACATCGTATACAGCATGATTATGAACATATACTTGACAAATAAATTTGTGTTAGGTTAAAATTAAATATTAGGGTCAAAATTCCGACAAGTGAAATCCCAACAGGTCATAAAAAATCCTGACAGCCAAAAAACTGACAGTTAAAAATCCCGACAATTAAAAATTCTGATGAAATATGCTAACTCTAGCCTAATTCTTATCTAAAGTGGCCTAACCCTAAAGTTAATTAAATTATAAGAGGCTACTTCGTTTTAAACATACCCCATATTCTGGATTTTTACTTGAAAATTCTGACTGTCAGGATTTTTTATAGGATTTTGACTATCGGGATTTTTTTTTAGTATTATGACTTGTCGGGATTGTGATTGTCGGGATTTTGACTGGCATTCTGTAAAAGTCTATGCTAGAAATTATCTCTATTCTAAAATCCAAATTTGACATCTTTAGATAGGTTATCTAGGTAGTAATATTAATAAAAGATTGATAAATAGATAAAAAGATTTTAATTTACAATCCACATATGAAGGATAGGATTTTATAATCAACGCTACTAAAATGCACCTATGGTGTTGAACACCATAATTGGCTATATCTCAAAAACGTACTAGCTAACACCTCTCAGAGGCAGTGTTTAAAATTCAAAAAAAAAAATCACTTGCACAAATGCATTTTGTGCAACTTTTTTTAAAAATTTTATCTGCACACCTAAGAGATATTTTAAAAATCTAAAAAAATCTAAAAAAAACACCTACACATGTGCATCTTGTGCAGGCTAATTTTAAACACTGCTCAGAGGTACTAAGTAGAAATGTTCAAAACCCCCAAAAACCTTATGCTAACTAAAATTTGGACCTTTATATCTAACCACTATCTTACTCTAAAGTTGCACCCTAACCCTAAAAACTTATTAACACCATAAACACCATGGTGCATTTTATGTTATTTGTTTATAATTTACAAAAGTATAATTTACTATATTTTTGAAATAAGAATGAAATCTTTTTTCCTCTACACTTATAAAAATTTTATATAATTACAAAAAAATTAAATATAAATATCTTTTAATATACTAAACCAATTTTAATAATTTTTTTGTATTATATATAAAAAAGGATTCTCTATATTTTTAATTAGAAAAATAAAGTATATTAGTATAATGAAAAAAAGTTAGCTATGAAGGGAAAAAAGATTTCATAATTATAATAAATTTAATAATAATTTGCGTTTATGAAAGTCTATCCTCTCATGTAAATCAGCAATTAATTATTTTTTACTAATTTTATTATTTTTTTCAGTTTTCACCTTTTAGCAGTTTGCCAATTTTGCCATTTTAATTTTTTTTTTGGCAAAAGTCGAAACCGATTTTGACTTTTGCCAATAGCAAAACCTCCAGGTTTTGCCTAACAACACTAGATCACACATACTGTAACATACACAACAATAGATACAAATACCAAGCGAGCAATTTCAAACTATTAGATAAGTTTATTTGAAAAAAAATCTTTACAAATTTTGTTTATTACTTACTAACATATGGTCCACCTACTTCCTGATCTAATTGACAACCAACGCGTTACGTAAATAATATTACATAAATAATATAACATAATGACGTGATATAAACAGTAAAAGTAATATTATTAATACTTTTAACATTATTTTGTACCATCATCAATTCAATCAATAGTAAATTAAACGAAAACATTTATTGTTTTATTATCATAACAAAACTATCGATTAAATTAAAATGGCGTAATAAACTTTTTGCTACGTCAATGTAAATATGTATAATGCAAACGCGACGCAAATAGAAACGTCATTCATTAATTAACAAATGATTGCTCCAAATGTAATATGATTATATATTGGCTACGTAGGACAAAATTTTTCATAACACCAATTATTAAATGCGAAAATGTTGGTAGTACACAAAAAACTAAGCAACTAAAATTCCACTATTTAGTCACATGATAACGATTTAAAAGGTTTCCTGGCTCAAACATAGTTTGATGTGGTCGGATTTGTATTACCGGGTTTTTATTAAATTTGGTAAAATTGATTTTCAAATT